TTAATAATTGGGTTCACAAGGTGGCAGTGCTGGCCCCCAGCTGAAGAAGAAACGGAAGTAACACAACAAAAAAATTCCAGAAACCACAACAATAGACATAGGGTGCTTCTCAAAACTAAAATTCATGCTTCCTCATTTCCTCGCTCCGTCCTCCAGCCCGTCACCTGGAAACCGATCAAACTCAGCCATCTTGAAGGGCATCTCAGTTCTCCAATTGCTCCACAACAAGGCGAGGAACAAGAAATAAGGAAGCTTCCTAAGGAGTCATGAGCGAGGATTCCCTGGTTTATCCTGCTCTCATCTGGACTATTGAAACTGTCTACTGGCCGTCCTCCCAGCGTATGCAATCAAAGCTCTGCAGCTCGCCCAGAACGCTGATAGCCTGACTTAAATTTAACCTCCTCGAGCCCTCCCGCAGTCACACCACTGCTAAGCACTCTATTCCTGCTGGGATCGATTCGAAATTCAACGGCAGACCTTGTCACACCGTCACCTCTCTGAGGATGATCACTTTGCCATTCATCTGAGAAGCACTGCAGCCTGCAGAACACTTACTGCTAAAACGCAGCGCAAGTGATTTAACCAACTTTAACAAAGACTGGTAACAAATGATCTAACAGGTCAAAGGTTTGGAAGAATTTGAATATACTGTAAAATGTAATTTATTGCTCTGATCAAAACAGATTTTTTCAGCATCATTACTCCAGTCTTCAGTGTCACATGATCCTTTAGAAATCATTTTAATATGCTGATTGGCTGCTGAATAAACATTTCTGATTATTATTAATAATAGCTGAAACTGTGATGCACTACCATTTAAAGGTTTGTAGATAGATAGATAGATAGATAGATAGATAGATAGATAGATAGATAGATAGATAGATAGATAGATAGATAGATAGATAATGAATCAAAGATGCATTAAGAGCTTCAAAACTGAAAAACAATATTGCACTTGTATTGTTACAGAAAATTTATACTTCAAATAAATGTTGTTCTTTGAAGTTTCTGTTCATCATGATTTCCACAGAAATACTAAGCAGTGAAAACTGCTTTCAACATTGATAAGTATCACTCTCGAGCACTATTTACAGTACTCACCATAAATCAGTACATATCTTGTAACAATTGACAAATTCAGCAATTACTCTTGGAATACATGTTAGGGTTCTTTAGAGATATAATGTTCTAGCAAGTCTGCTTGATCAGGTACCAAAGAAGCATGTTCAGAAAAGCATTCAGGAAAATAAAACCACCTTATCAAAGTGATAAAATGTTGTGTTGCAAAAATGAGTACACCCTCCTGAAAATTACAAAATACAACTACTTTTAAGGCAATTTTAAGGCAATTTTTTAAGTTTAACCAAAAAAGTAAAAGAGGAGTAATTTTTTGACAATTAAAAGTATTACACAGCCCATTAAATCATTCTCAGGCTACAATAGAACCACTTGGCAGAGAATCATCAAGATATTTATTTATTTGCACAAAAGAGGACAGTTGTACAAGAGGAAAGCCAAATCATGGTTTTAAGGGTGAAAATACAGCAAGAAATTAAAAAACAATGGACTTGAAATAATCAGGTCTTCATGTTAAGCTTTCATTTCATGATAAGGGAATTTTTTTTCTAGGAAAAAATCAGGAAAATGTCAAATAAGTGTTTTATAGTCAGTAAAAGCATAGAGAAGTTGCATGCAAAGTTGTTGTCCACAACTGAACTACCTACAGTAGACAAAGCACAATAAACTAATTTATCCTTCTCCAAAGCCCAAATTTACAAAATATAGACTTCTGGGAATCCATACTCAAACATGTTTAATCTAACAGCATGTAAAATGTTATGGCTTTGATAGGCGAGGAGTACAGGTAGAAGTAGTGCTTTGTTCCCACAGTGAAGTTATGTGGTAATAAAGCTATTACATAGGGAATTATGAGTGCTGAAGGCATAAGGGAGTTAGGCTTTATCTATACTTATGATTCCATCGACCTACTTTTATGTGAATTTTTGAGGATATTGCATGAAAAAATATGTTTGATGGAACCATCAAGATGCACACAGTTTTTTTTTTTTTTTATCCAGTAAACTAAACTACGATGGAAACACAACTGCCAAACAAATTCCTCAAAAAAGTAATGTGACTTTGCCTCAACAGATGGAAAAGTTCTCAACAGAAGTCTATCACCAAAATGATTTGGTATAATCGCCTCCCAGTCTCACACGATTGCGTTCCCAAAATGTAAGGCATCTGAATGCAAGATAACATGGCGGCATTTGTTACTGCATTTCCTCCGTGTCGCTCTGAGGTGCAAATCATTTATTATGGGGGGCTGAAGAGCCACAGGCTTTCCTGGTTACAGCAACTTTCATTTTTATTATTGATACTTTGCACCAGTTGCCCAAGAAGTGACAATGTGTTTTATTCTCCTGAACATATGGGATGGAAACAGTGCTCAAATCTTTTATGCCATATTATAATTCTGCACATATGTTAAATATGCAACTTTGGATGGAAACATAGTTAATTGTTTCATGAATATACACACCAGTATATGTTATAATGCAAGAGCCTCAAACAGAAGAAGTTGGGTGGGGGTTTGGCAGTTTTGTCTGCTGTTATTTACCCACCAATGTTAAAATCAAACATACACCCCTGGTATAATCAGTGAAAAGAAGGGTCAGAGAAGTATAGTTACAATTATGGAGAACATATTAATTACTAGAATTTCACAGGTTTGATGAATTTAATCAAGTTTACTCAGTTCAAGTTCACTTTGTTGAGTTCACTCATTTGTCCAACCCTTCGTTTAAATACAATTGGATAATTTATTATTTTATGGATATTAATGACACATTTTCTGTGTTCTCTGCTTTTATTAAGCATATGTTTAATAAATGTAAAAATTTGCATAAACTGTACATGTGATCATTAAGAAAAATACATAAATAAAAACAGAAAAAGGTATGGAAGAGTAACAGGAAAAAATGCCATAAAATGTCAGGAAATCAAATTTCATAACATATCATAAAATGTCATAAAACATCATAAAATGTAATAAATAAAATAAAATACAGCATCTTGCTTAAGTATTCATACCCCTTAATTTTTTCCCACATTTAGTTATATTGCTGCCCTTATATAAACTGCTTTAAATTATTTTATTTATTTATGTATTTTTACATCAGTTTATTCTCTGTACATCATAATGACAACGCAAAACATACATAAATAAATCTCACAATATAAATTAAGAAAAAATTTAAAAAGTCTCACTATTAACTTTATTAGCATGCATTTTATTAACATGCTGTTTATTAGTACTTATAAACACAAAACCCTACCCTATATAAACTTAACAACTGTCTTGCTAATTATGAATAAGCAGCAAATTAGTTTATTGAGGCCAAAAAAACAACAAAAAAAACATAGTTAATAGAGAGAATTGGCCCAGGTGTGACCCAATAAATAAAAATAAACTTTTGTCCTTTGTTTGTGACTATCTGCATCTTTTGATAACAGTATTCCAATTTCACCTTGGTAATAACATTATGCATCTTTTCCTTTCTGTCTTTCAAATGCTCTTTTCCTCACCTAACACATTAGCCTCCACACACACCGTCACTTTGCATATATGCAACACTTTTTCAGATTGCCGTTCCTCTTGATTTCCGGATTCACCTTCATATTTATGAATCTAATCTTCAGTTTTTATTGAGGTGGCTTCATGCATCACCATCGACTATGCATTAGTGATCTCATGCGACATTATGTGCTAAAAGCAGAAGGGATGTAATCCAATACAGGTTCATGCTCATATGCAGAAACATTTTCCTCTTCTTTAAGGCCAGTTAAAAGAGAATAACAAGAGGTAGATAATGCATCTAAATGCCAGGTCACACAACACTGGCTTCCAGTTTGGAGCTTTCATGGAGCAGCTCTATTATTCACTGTGTTTAAAAATAAATGCAGACCTATATGATGAAGTGAAACTACATTCAAAGACATTTATAAGGTCAAACCCTGAAAGAAGTATTCCGGGTTAAACAACACAGACATCAGCTGCTCCATGCTGCTTATTACCACAGAAAATTAATTTCAGTAATTGAGCAATTGATTTTCAGCGTATATAAACAAATGGGAAACATGTTTACAGGAAATAACACACAATGGGAGAGCGGTATGCATACACACGTAATACATGCTGTTTTCAACTGCAATTTTGTTAAAAATAACTCTGTCACTGTGATATCCCATGTGGAAAAGAACTGTGCTTAAATGTATCGAAAGTGTACTTGTGTATTTCAAAACTTAAAAACTTAAAAAAAATAAAATAAAACTTAAGAATAAATCTTAAGAATAACTATTTTAAAGCATGTTGTTTATTCATCCATCATTATGTCACAATCAAATGTCTACTTTCACCCTGAGCATCAGACTAAAGAGCACCTTGTGTTTCTGGGTCCTGACCATATTGCAAAAGAGCTACAAAGACAGATTCTAGACAATAACTGTAAATGTCAAGCATGATGCTCATAAGCCCCGGGTCTGAGACATCACAGCTGGCTTGTGTTATTCCCCTGATCCCCAGGCATCGGCACGCTTATCACATTGACGCCCTGCAAACCGACACAATCTGACTGAGACCTTGAGCCACAGATTACCGCAGAAGGTCAGGAGCAAATAAATGTGTTTCCTCATAAGTGTCGCAATCAGGCCTCAATACTGTATTTTTTTTTGAGTGTGTACAGGTTTATCCTCCATTGTGGAGACATTTGGTCATATAAAGAATAGTAAAACCTGAAATGTTTGAGATTGTTATTGGTGTTACATTATGTTCATCTTAAAATGTAAAAAATGCCCCAAAAAAAAGTTTTCTGTGAGGGGTAGGTTTAGTTTAGTGGGTAGAAATATATTGTTCGCTCAGTATAACAACAATACAAGTCTACTGCAAGTCCCCACAAAGACAATCGTACAAATGTGTGTGTGTGTGCTTGTTCACTCACCAGTGTCCTGGTCACAAAGCTGTTCGCAGGGGTCAGTCGTTCTCTGGCCGCAGTAGTCTCTCACCCACTGGGTGGAGGTGTTGGTCTGGTAGTACAGAGTCAGTTTAGCTGGATTTAACCAGTTGGAGACATCCAGATAACTGCCCATGCTAACCACAAAACTGCTTCCTATACAAAAAAAAAGGATATGATTGAAAATACACATTTATCTTATGAACTTCAAGAAGAGCACACCAAATTTCTACAGTTTTTTTTTCTTTGTCCTAAGATGTCCTACACTGAAGAAAAAATACTGTAGAATTTACAGTGAAATAATTGTAATTCATAAATTGCTAGTAATTTTTCTACCAATAATTAATCCATTTAATTTAATAAACAAATAAATAAATGTTACTTTTCAACTACATGTCAACTAACCCATAGTAGCAGAGGCGGACAGTAACTAAGTAAATTTACTTGAGTATTGTACTTAAGTACACTTTTTAAGTATCTGTACTTTACTTGAGTATTATTTTTTCTGGGAACTTATGACTTTAACTTCACTACATTTGAAAGACAAATATTGTACTTTTCACTCCACTACATTTCTATCAATGTCCTCGAAGTAGAAAGTCGTTACTATGTAGCAGCTTTGAAAGTCAGTAGGTGATTTTTTTCTTCTCTAAAACGTGACTTTCTTTTTTTCAGACAGTTTATCAGTAATCACTCTTGTAGGGCTACATGAAGAGATTTCCCAGCATTTTTTGAACACTGACCAGTGGCAAATAATAAGAAGTTAATATTGTGGTATATATTAGACTGATTTTGCTAAATTGTGTAGCAATTGTGTAAGTGAAAATATTACCTATAAAGCCACAGAAGAACTGTGCGTCTCCTAATAAAACACAAAAGGTGTTGGACTGAAGCAGCACTGCACAGACTGTTCTGTGTG